AAAAAAAAAAAACCAAAAAAAACCACCCCACTTTACAGATGAGGAAAACTGAGGCCTTGAGAGGTGAGATCAGTTGCCCAAAGTCACAGAGTTCATCAGAGACCAGGCTGGGCTCTGAACTGGATCTTGTCCCCAAGTCCTGGCCCTTAGCCACTTTGCTGGGCTGCGTCTCAGCAGAGATAAGAATGACTGTTTTCAAGCCTGTTTTCTGGGTTGTTAAACGGACACAATGGATACAAGGCAGGTTGCCGAGCGAGTCAGATGAGACAGTGTAGACAGCAGCCGGCACAGGGTCTGCCGGGGAAGTTTCAACGTTAGCCAGGCGGTGATGTTCGCCTTGGGATGCCGTGGGGCCGAGGAGTGGGCATCGGGTGAGACTTCCCTTGAACCAGCTCTGGAGCAATGCCCTTGCGATTGACACGAGAGGAACAGGGCCAGCTGGGGGCCAAGGTGACAGCTGAGCCCCCCAAGGGCGCCTGCTACCCGAGCCCCCGAGGCCTCCATCCCAGGCCCGGCCTCCCCAGAGAAGGGGCCAGAGGAACAGCCAAATCCCAAGGCTATAAATACCTCGGCTGGCGTCGGCCCTGGCCGTGGAATGTCGGTCAGAACTGGGGCGAGTGGGGGTGGGCTGGCCTGCCTGGGTGCCTCCCTCCGTTCCCCTGGGAGTGACCCCGGAGACTCTCTGTACCCCACTTTGGATGGAGTAGCAGCTGGATCCCACCTCTCTGTAGCAAGGGAGGCCCAGGCCACGGCCCGGCCAGGGCCCCCAGAGGCACCATAAAAAGGTCAGGCTCTAGGTTGAGGGAACTGCACCCCAATTTCTACCAAGTATCTCCCCAGAAATCACCTGAACCCGCCCCGGTGAAATGGAAGTCTCTGTCTAACTCTCCCCTCTCTCCCTTTCAGTGAAAGAATTCTTAGCCAAAGCCAAAGAAGATTTTCTTAAAAAATGGGAAAGTCCCGCTCAGGTAAGGCCACTGGGTACAGAGTCCGGGGAGGGGTGAGCTGGTGACCCCCAGCCCCCGGCTGCGTCCCAGCAACACAGCTAGAATTTCAGAAACCCCGTAGAAGGCTTCAGACCCTCCCCATTCACTCCCTAGGTGCCCATGGGGGCTCCTGTGTGGAGACACCTGACTGCCCAATGCCAGGCACCCCCATCCCACCACCCCTTCCAACAGCCCGCCCCTGCCCCTAGCACAGCTGCCAGTAGCTCCAGGCCCCAGGCCAGGGCCGGATCTGGCCCCCGCCACCCGCCTTAAGGAATGCGCCCTCTGCCATCTTGATTTTCCGCCCCCGTCCTCAACCCCGCTGACCCTACGTGTTCCCCGGGGCCCCCTCTGCCGGTGGCAGAGGGGATGCCTCAGACCTTAGCCCACCAGGCCGCGGGGAGGATGCACCCTGAGCCTGCCGACCCCTCTGCCCACAGAACACAGCCCACTTGGATCAGTTTGAACGAATCAAGACCCTCGGCACGGGCTCCTTCGGGCGGGTGATGCTGGTGAGACACAAGGAGACCGGGAACCACTATGCCATGAAGATCCTCGACAAACAGAAGGTGAGGTGGCCCGTCCTCGCCTTTGCCTGGACTGTGCCCACTCCTTGGAGTGCCCTATCCACCCGTTCACTCACTTGCTTTGTTTTTTTGAGTCAGAGTCTTGCTTTGTTGCTCAGGCTGGAGTATAGTGGCGCGACCTCGGCTCACTGCAACCCCCACCTCCCTGGTTCAAGCGATTCTCCTGCCTCAGC